GGACATCAATACATAAGTTTAAAGTACCCAAACTAATTAGAATTAATATTTGATGGCTCCTATTTTTAAACGTCTTGGTAGAGTATTGACCAAGCAATATTATCGTTGATAAGTGAGATACAACTCAACTTATCCTCCTATAAATTTGTGGTTTTGCGTTCCAAATCTCGGCTGTTGAGAAAGTGCATGGCAACTCAACCCAGCAAGCATGTGTCGCTGGCGAAACCCCCTACAAAATTTAATACAAGCTTTTGTGTTCACACACCACATCACATCACATGAAGAGGTCGCCCAATTAACTGTAAAGCCAACACGCTTTGGAATATATGGGCGGTGCATGCGTGTGGTCACATCACATATAAACACATGAAATTAATTGGGATCCTATTATAATTGTTTTGACTATGCTACTCAAAGTCTAGGAGGAAGCCAGCTAAACATATTTTACTTAAGCTCCAAAAATGCTTTGTGTCTAAATGGCCATAAACAGGAAGATAATACAATATGAGATACGAACAAATATATGAGCTAAACTTCATACCATATGTATTTGAGAGAAAATCATCAGAATTATAGATCGACTGGATGGCTAGTTCTTCTTCATTGAACATTGACTTATATCAAATGAAATATCGCCTTAAATGAAATTATTCTCATGTCAAACTGTCTGGTAACAATTACATCAAAAAGAATATTATTGCAAAGCTATATATATGAACAATCCCGCTTGCCTAAGGATTTCAGTTTTAGGTTCTTAGATGAGTGAGTATGTATATATGAAAGATAAGTTATATCATATATGGGCCTCAAACATTGACATATCTGAGCAACTCCTATGGGCTCATTTGGTGTTTATAATTGGATTGGATAAGTCACTAAATCTAAATCTAAGGTAGGTTGAAGGAGGAAATGAATGTAGAGATGAATGACTTTCCATATTGGGGGATTAGGAGGGATTAGTTATAAGATGTTGCTATCTTATCATTTTGTGAGAATTAGATGAGATACGTTTTCTTAATGAGTAATTCATTTTCTACCATCAACTTGTTTTTTTTAAAAATAATTTCTTCGTTAAACATGCTTTAATAATATAAGGAGAGTATCTAATCCAATTCAATACTAATTACCAAACAAGCCAATGTATATAAGATGCCCTAATATATTCTAGAAAAAGTTGCATGTTCTGCAGACTGCTAGTCTTCTGCACACAATGGGCCGCATGGGATAATATTAAGGAGTATCTAATCCAATTCAATACTAATTAGCAAACGAGCCAATGTATATAAAATGCCCTAATATATTCTAGAAAAACTTACATGTTCTGCAGACTGCTAGTCTTCTGCACACAATGGGCCGCATGGGATCATATCTTGGTAACCAACGAAGCCCCACAAACTGTCGAATACCAACAACCATTTTGGGTGGCGTTTTCCAATTATTATATACATACACACTACACGGGGCTTCTTTAATTCGTTCTCTCTTTTTCTTGCTACTATAACTGAGCACATACCTGGAACACATACAGAAACAAATTAGATCAAACCCTTTGAAATTGATAAAATATCTAATTTATTGCTATCAACACTTTTTTGGTCACGTTCTTCTCGATGCAGCAATTCAAAAAGTCTGTCTTGTAATTGGTCCCCAACTCCCCTTTCCACGGAGTGAAAATGGATTGTGGTTGTAGGGCCCTTCTTACCCTTTTCAAGCTGTAGACTTTCAACTCATACTGAGGCCTTGAACCAGCCAATGGCTAGAAGATAAGGTGCCACGCAGGATAAAAACACCATACAAATTTCCCACTACATCTTCCATTCCCTTCTCATATCATCATCTGTTATACTCAAATTGTGTACAAAGAAAGAAAGAAAAAGAGAGACCAAAGATAAGATGAGGTACCATTCATTCTTATTAAGAAGCCCAAAGAAGGAGGAGCAACAGGTGCCAGACAGCATCAATAATTCTGGTGAAGAATTCTCTGACACTACCACTACTACTACTACCACCACCAAATTAGATGATGCTTTTAACACCAATGGAGATGATCATGTGGTTGATATCATGGATGACTGGGAGCGCATTTTGGGCATTGAAGAAGAGGAAGATGGAAAATTACCGAGCGAAAACATGTACGGCGGTCACAAGCTTAATTGGGATTTTATGGATTGGGATGAGTTTCCTAAAGGAGAAGAAGGGGAGGAGATTGAGCAGAAAGTGTTTCAAACCGCAGATAGGTGCTTTTTTGAAGATGAAAGCTACTATGAAAGAAAGGTTGTAAAAAGTGAGAGTGTTGTGTTTTGGGATGAGGACGATGAGAAGAGGGTGCAGTTGAATTTGAATTTGAATTATCAAGAGGTGTTGGATGCTTGGTCTGATCGTGGTCCTCTTTGGGCAGATGATTGTTCACGTTCTTCCATGGCTAGCAATGGCAATTATGTTAGTACTTGATTAACTTTATTTCATATCTTCCTTTACTCTCTTTTTTATACCTTGTTTCGTATTTTTAATTTGGTGCCAATTTTGAAGAAATAGGATGTCATTAATATATATATATATATATATATATATATAGCATGCATTTCTACTGCCATGCTTCTTCCTCGTTTCAAAAGAGAAACGCTATTCGCACTTATGTTGTATTCTCGTACTTCTTTTATGAGAAAGTACGAATAACTCTCATATACTCTGAACAAGAACACATGACGCTTCCCTTTCAATATGTTCGATGTACGAAAAAACACTTTTAAATGGTGTACTTTATAGTACTGTTCCAATCCAAACATGTAAATTTTACATTTTTATTTATTTATTTTTGTCCATGATGACATTATCAAATTGGATTTAGCAGTAAAACTGCATGCAAATTGTAAAATGAGTGTCATGTGCATATATGAGGAGGCTTCTCTTAGGTATAGAATGTTGTGTTAATGTTTAATTTTGTGTCTAATTATCCTTTACTTAGATGGGAGAGGTGCCAATAATGGAAGAAGAGAGAACAAGAAGGGAGGCAAGTGTTCTAAGGTACAGAGAGAAGCGCCAGTCTAGACTTTTCTCCAAGAAGATAAGGTACCAAGTCCGCAAACTCAACGCAGATAAAAGACCAAGACTCAAGGTTTTTGTCTTCTCTCTCTCTCTCTCTCTCTCTCTCTCTCTCTCTCTCTCCCTGCCAAATTGATATGTTTTGAATTTTGAAATTATTGTTCGTTTGATAATACCTTATTTTCTGTGTTGCAGGGTCGATTTGTGAGGAGGTGTGATTCGTGACGCGATGACTAAAGAGATAGCTCGAAATATCTCAACAAATATCTCACTCCAACATCCATGGACTTTTTGCTTTGCATGTGTTTGGGTTTGTCGTATGAAAATATCTCTAATTTAACTTAAAAGTAGTTGAAAATATCTATTTTTTTGGGAGGACCAGTTTCGGTTAACTCCAAAACATTCTCTGTTTCTGGGGCCTACTTATCATGAAAATTGAAATGATTTGTGGTAAGGCCCATCTTGTAGAAAATGCCCATCTCCTTTTCCATAGTTGATAGTCTTGTAATTATAGTGATGGGAATTGGACTAGCAGCATCACCAAGCTCAACTCAACTTTACTTCAGTAAGGATGTATTTATAAGATACTGCTTGCCTCCTCTTTATTTTTAAGGAGATGCTCTCTTTTTTAGCGAATCACAGTTTGATATATATGTAAAAATAATTTATTAAAAATACAAAAAGAAAAATGTATGCACACATATTATATTACTATTAACATGAATATAGGAACTCCTACTTACATAGTAAGAAGGGAAGTATTGTCCTATTTATAATAGACATTATAGGGTAAATTGATCATAGAGAGAAGTCAAGTGACATGAGTATATCCAAATGTTTTCAAACTTTTCAATAGAGTGGTGTGGAATTCTTTTTCTCTTTCTTGTTTAACAGTTGTCGTCTATAAAATTTAAATTTAGAACGTAAAGATTACGTGTCATTAGACCAAATTGTCAAAGTAGATTATTGATAATCTCGTGAAATGGATCTTAATCATTCATTAATCCATGTGCTAGTTGTTGCAATCAAATATTCCACTTTAATTAATTCAATACGAATTTGAAGTCTTGCAATGATTCATCAAGATATGTGTATTTGTGGTCCCTAGAGCAAAATTTGAAAGCGTTAAAGCTTTTCATCATAGGTGACTGGTGTTGAGAAATGTGTGCATTATTATATATGTTAGGTAGAGCTTCATATCTTATGGAATTTCGTAAGATATGTAACGTAATTAAATATACTGTTCATTTCCCCCACACACACAAAACAAAAACTAATATATTGTTGCTTGCAATGTTTGCTTCTTTTGATCAAACAATATATATGTGCCCATGGAAAATGATATGCATAATCATTCTCTCTTTCGTTTTTCTTTTTATCTGAAATTATCTTTATGTTATACGCGGCATATTTTATTTAACAAGTCGAACATATACCAGAAATTAGATGTCACTAGACTATACCTTTTTATCATATTGTAGTATATAGTCTTAGGTATAAAAATTGTTAAGATTATGATTTAAATAAAAAAATAATTGAATGAGTCCCATACGAAAGAAATTTTGGACAAACCAATTCCTACGTTACTTTGGTGATGGTCAATAGATATTTTTCGAGTTTCCTTTTCCTTTGGGCTTTCTAATTCTATGTGGTCCTCCTAGGGAAGGAAAGTAAAAGAAAGGGACAAATCACAGCGGACCATGGTTCTCCCGTATGGTCTTTAAATACTTTGTTTTGTAGGGCCCATAATAATTTCACTGTCACTAACCGTGCAGTAAAAAAATTTATTTTAGTAAATTTAGAAGCGGGCTTCTACTTTTCATGACTCGGCCCACTTTTTAAATTTGGAGCTGAATTGGGCTAAGAAAACTGGGAAATCGGAAACTTGTTTTGTCGTTTTCTTGCCGCTCTTCTTTTTATATTCACGCTCTTGGAGCTTTGGACTCTCCACTTCCTTCCGACGTCTCCCCAATCCCAAACCAATCCAATCCAATACAATGAGCCTCCCAAAAACCTCACCAATCACCACACGCCATGTGGTGGTTCTGCCGTTCCCCGGCCGCGGCCACATCAACCCCATGATGTGCCTCTGCAACTCCCTCGCTTCGTTAAACCCGGCCGCCGACAACACAGACATCATCGTCACCTTTATCGTAACGGAGGAGTGGCTCGGCTTCATCGGCTCGGAGCCGAAGCCCGACAACGTGAGCTTCGCTACTATTCCCAACGTCATCCCCTCCGAGATCGGCCGCGGCGCTGACTCTCCCGGATTCTATGAGACCGTTTTGAGAAAAATCAAAACCCCGGTCGAAGACCTCCTCGACCGACTGGAGCCGCCGGTCACCGCCTTGATAGCCGACACGTACTTGGTCTGGTCCGTCGAGATGGGGAATGTGAGGAATATTCCGGTAGCTTCTCTATGGACCATGTCCGCTTCTGTCTACTCCGTCTTCCATTTCTTCGATCTCCTCGTCCAACACAGGCATTTTCCCGTTAATTTGGAAGGTACATAACGAACTCAGTAACTTAAATACTTCTCTTGGTTTGAGTTTAATTCTAGTAATTATAATTGTTTCGAAATATAATCCTTATAATTTACTAAGTAATGTATTAGAGGTATCATGTGCTAATTTCTTCAAAAATAATAACTACTGATATTACAGAAAATAAAATGGAATAACAAACAAATACCAACATGTGTGTTTGTTTTCTTTATAGAACGAGGAGAAGAGCACGTGGCCTACATCCCGGGACTTCCTTCCACACGTGTGGCGGACCTTCCCACGTGTTTCTACGGGAAAGGGATTAATGTATTGGATCGAGCTCTAGAATCCGTTGCATCGTTGTCCAAAGCCCAATGGCTTTTGTTGCCTTCAGTGTACGAGCTTGAAGCCCCAGTGATCGACGCTCTGAGGGCGAACACATCGATCCCTGTTTATCACATTGGGCCCACCATACCCCATTCCAAAGTGGAGGCCGAATCAAGGCCCAGTGAGGCCCACTATTTTGATTGGCTAGACAAACAGCCTAGTGGGTCAGTTTTGTACGTATCGCAAGGGAGCTTGCATTCAGCTCCCAAAGCCCAAATGGATGAAATCGCTGATGGGTTGAGGGAGAGTAAGGTTCGATTCTTCTGGGTGGCGCGTGAAGCAGCTTCTGAGTCGAAAGAGAGGTGCGGGGAGATGGGGATTGTGGTGCCCTGGTGTGACCAATTGAGGGTGTTATGTCATGATTCTATTGGTGGGTTTTGGTCCCACTGCGGTTGGAATTCGACCTCAGAAGCTGTTTTTGCTGGTCTTCCAATGCTGACTTTTCCTATATATTGGGACCAGGTCCCCAATAGCAAGATGATTGTGGAGGATTGGAAGATTGGGTGGAGGGTGAAGAAGAAAGGGGTGGGAGAAAAAGAAAGTTTGGTGGGTAGAGAAGAAATTGCAGGGATTGTGAGGAGGTTTATGGATTTGGAAAGTGAGGAGGGTAAGGAAATGAGGAGCAAAGCGAGGGAGCTTAGGGACATTTATCGACAAGCAATTCGAAAGGGTGGCTCGACTTATGCCAATCTTGAAGCATTTGTAAGTGACATATGCAAGCAAGATTTCTAATGACACTTTCTGTTTTGAGTTGGTTTCATGCCCACCACAATTATGTATGCAGTTTGACAAACGATTGACCATGTGGTTTTATTGATCCACTTAACACATGTATTTTGCAACTAAAGACTTTGTCCTTAACATGTGTACTCATTAAGTTACTGCGCAAGTCTCAAATTCATTTTTATGTCCACTAACACATGTATTTTCTAGTGTAGAAATATTTTATTTTTATGTTTTATATGTATTGGAGAATGTTTTCACACGACTGCCTCACATATATTAGAGATATTTAGTGATATACACATTCTTAGAACTAATAATATTATATAGTACACCAATCACCCGTAACATATAAAAATTAGTCCGCGCATAAGCAGTCTCTAGTTCCCAGAGGACGAGTAAGGCCCAAGTGTTAATTTCTACCGCAATCGAGGGGTATTTCCGTCTTCCAACCCGTTTCATGATCGTGAAAGCTAACTGATCAGTCATCTGCTTCAATCTTCGTGCAGCAAACACCAACAATATAGCAATAAAGCTTCAATCTTCACACAAGAGAAATGGCCACAGCAAAACTTGAGCCAATCTCCGTCTGCCACGTGGTGGCCCTGCCTTATCCCGGCAGAGGACACATCAACCCCATGATGAACCTCTGCAAATCACTGTCTTCAAAGAAACCCGACAACACCCTCGTCATCACCTTCGTCGTCACCGAAGAGTGGCACGGCTTCATCGGATCTGACCCAAAACCCGACAACATTCGATTTGCGACGCTACCAAACGTCATCCCCTCTGAGCTGGTCCGCGCAAACGACTTTCCGGCGTTCTTTGAGGCCGTGAACACCGCATTGGAAGCTCCCTTCGAGCGGCTTCTGGATGGGCTCGAGGCTGAGGCGCCTCCAGTGAGCGCCGTAGTTGCTGACTCTTTTGTTGACTGGGCCGTGAGGGTCGGGAACCGGAGGAATATTCCTGTGGCTTCACTGTGGACAATGTCGGCGTCGGTGTTTACGGTGCTCCATAGCTTTGAGCTGCTCAAACAGAAGGGCCACTTCCCTGCTGACTTGTCAGGTACGTTGATTGTTATTATGGCATATGCTCGTACGCTACATGCATGTCAGCATGTGGGTGACCCCACGTGTTATTGAAAGTCGACTCTCATGCCAACCCTATTTTCACCTTACAAAGTTACACTGCTTGACTGCTCACATGTAAGAAGTCATTCTTCATACAGTCTACAGACAAATCACATTTATATGCAAAACTAACTCAAAACAGAGAAGTTTATGCATTCATATCACTGATATGTGATTTGTAGGAATGCATTTTGTATTACTATCGTTTTTAATTAGCATGACTTGACTCCTTAAAATTGAGGAGGAGCTCCTCTTCACAACAAATGAGATTTTAACGCTTGTCAAATTCCAAAAAAAGAAAATGTTAAAAAAATTTAACAAGCGTCCATTTGTTTTAAAGATGAACTGCTCGTCAATTTTGAATTGCAAAGTTTGAATGCAATCAAAACCTTTTTTTTTTCTTTCTCACTTTATCAAATAATGTTTTCTCAATAATGCAATTTTATTTATTGAAATTGCTCTTTATATATGTTTCTCTGTGTCTATTTGTGAAATGCGTAAATGAAAGAGCGTGGAGATGAGATAATAGACTACATCCCTGGAATCAACACCACAAGCGTTGCAGATCTTCCCACAGTATTCTTTGGAGACAATCATCAAAAAGTCCTCCACAGAGCTATTGAAACTGTTTCTCAAGTAGTAGAAAAAGCACAATATCTTTTGTTCACTTCAGTCCATGAGCTTGAACCTCAAGTATTTGACACGTTCAAAACCCAATTTGCTCTGCGTGTCTACCCTATTGGCCCAACCATACCTCATTTTGAACTTTCTAAAAGTCTACCCATAAATCACAATGATGGCCTCGGTTATCTAAATTGGCTAGATTCTCAGCCCAAACAGTCAGTCCTGTACGTCTCCCTGGGAAGCTTCCTTTCAGTTTCAAAAGCCCAAATGGATGAAATTGTTGCTGGGGTGCAGAACAGTGGTGTTAGGTTCTTGTGGGTTGCTCGTGGGGATGCCTCTAAGTGGAAGGATGGTGTTGGTGATAAGGGTTTGGTGGTGCCTTGGTGTGACCAATTGAGGGTGTTGTGTCATGATTCTATTGGGGGGTTTTGGTCACATTGTGGTTGGAATTCAATTTTGGAAGCTGTTTATGCTGGTCTTCCAATTCTCACTTGTCCTATATTTTGGGACCAAGTTCCCAACGCTAAGCAAATTGTGGAAGATTGGAAGATTGGATACAGGGTATTGAAGAAGAAGGTGGGGGCAGAACATGAACATTTGGTGACCAGAGAGGAAATTGCTGAACTTGTGCAGAGGTTTATGGATCTCGAAATGAAGGAGGGGAAGGAGATGAG